ACAACAGCTGCAGCAATTGGTCAATGCCACATTCTCATAATAATAGCTGTGGGGTAAAACTGAGCCACCCCTGTAGCTCACTTCACCAGGCTCCCAACAAACTGTCCTCCATCTTCCAAAGATAAAAACCTGCATCTTGAGCTCTTGTGAAAATCCAGGCCAAGGTGAATGAAACTACCACTTTAATCATATTAATTCTCTGTGGCTGGGCCTGAACCAAGACCTACCTCCTGCAAACATTTGGTCCCCCAAACAGAGGGTTTCCGAAAGTAGGCAGGACTGGCTGTTGAGTAACTGAGTGCTTGCCAAGCCTTCACACATCGTGGGACACGTCACGGGAGACAGAGAGGAACATAATCTGTTGTCCAGTTTACTGGATTAAACCCATACCTGAAGGTTCTTGTTGCTTCAGTCCTTGCTTAGCTGTTGTAGATACGAACAGTTACCTCAGGGCACAGCCGTATTTTATTTACAGCACCTCATTTGGGGAGTTCTGAATGGGCAATTAACAATGTCTGTCAAAGATAGAAAACCATGTACTTAAATGAGACATCTATTAATATTAATACCAAGAGACAGAAGAGATACCGCTGCTAAGCTAATGCTTGATGGTGGTTGTTTCAGTAGGGTCTTTTCTGACGTCTTTACGCTTCTGCAGTATAATGTAATCGGTAACTGGAGTCAAATATATGTGAATTCAGGTGTTCTGCCAACCGTCTGCTTTGTGGTACAGGGCAAATTAACTCTTCTGAGTCTCTTTCCTAATGTGTGTCATACAATGCTAATACTACTTATTTTGATGGGGTGTTTCTGAGGATTAAATAAAATTATGTAAAGCGGTGAATGCTGGCCTGGAATATGCCGTACTAAGCCTGTCTGCCGAAGTTCCACTCAAATGCCACCACTCCTCTGATCTCTCTCGGCCGTTTAGATGGTGCTTTCCTGTTTTAACACCCCTCAGACCGTTTTACTACACTATAATGTGTTCATTGCCCATAGCTTCCTTTTCCTGACCCGGGCTCTCCAAAGAGCCAGCAATTGTCCTTGCTCTGTAACTCCGGCGATTGGCGAACTTCGGCCGCTGCTAGCGTTCCACGTTTGTTTTTGTTTTGGCCAAGTGCTTATCGGATTGGGCCGGAGGAGCCGGGGACGGGGCGCGGCCCGAGGGAGGGGGGCGTGCCCACCTAGGGTGGCTCCCCGATACGCCCCAGCGGCCAGCGAAGAAGGCTGGGATGGGCGCCCCGGGCTCACCCACTAGGCGCTTCAGAACGCCGCCGCACAGGCGCGCCGGCCT